TTTAAACCTCAGAAGTTCAACATATCATAGAAAATTTTAGTGGGAATTAAATATCCACCCAGCTTTCCCACCCCTAGGTCTTCTCCCTGTCAAACAGCTTTCCAGTCTGCACTGAAAGACTCCCTTTTCTCAGGAAGTTGTACTAATAATTTTCCAAAAATATTAGCAGGGGATCCATAGCAACTGTTGATATGACTCAAAATGATTTAAGAGCGGTCTTAGCAACCTTCTGTTAAGATATACTGTATACAGCCTTCCCCACTTAGCAAAATCCCACAATATGGCAAGAAAGATTTTTATGTCTAAGAATAGTGACCTACACACATTTTTCAAAATTATTTAAATCCTCCCTATCACATTTCCAGCAAGATGTGCCTCTACAACACTATGTCAGTGTGTTCTGTTCAGAGTTTTGATTCTTTCTCCTTTTTTAAAATCACACTATTAACATCCCTGCCATTTTAGAAATAATGTTTATTGATTTTTCTGTTAACACTGCTATAAATTAAGTGATGTAATGGACAGGATTATTGAAGTACTATAAAGAACATGTCTTCCAGATTCTTAACTCCTGACTGAAAAAGAGCAGACTCTGGATTAATACAGAGATAGTGCAGTTCTGTGCTGTGACTTGGGTAGTTTAGGTTGGTTGATGACTTTTTATATGACAGAGCAGACATATAACAGATTACATTACAGCTACCTGCTAAGTATCAAATGACAGATGAAAAAACACCTCATTCAGATTAAACTGAGAAATAAATGCTTGAGAAAAAAAACAGATGCAAACTTCCCGATCACTTGCTATTCCGAGACTTAAGATACAGTCAGTGTCAGAATGGTCTGAATGACTTTTTCTGTGCTAAACCAATAAAATGCAGGTTTATTGCTGGCAAGCCCAGAGCCAAGGTATGACACATGAAGTGCTCCGTCCCATGGCTGTTGATAACAGAAGTAACCATGTCTGAGCAGTGCTAGTTAAAGAGGAGGGGAGGGATGGATGGACATGTGCTCTGGAACTTCCATTTCCTCTGGAATCCTGACTCACAGGATTTTAGACTATTTAGACAGTTTTTTAGACTCTTTCTGTAGGATCTTCAAGCCACCAAACTTTTGTTCTGTTTTATTGGTTAGTTTTTCAACCTTTGAGCCTCCTGTAATAACAAAGTTCGATTTCTACCCTTGGATGTTTGATTTTACATTCCATCATCACCAAGCATTGATTAAGCCTTAGCACACACACCCGATTGTCTTTATGACTTTGTTTTCTCAGGGAAAGGTCAGACTTTATGACAACATCACTCTGTTACAAACAAAACTGTTGGTGATACTTAGTACTGACTGCGATCAGGTTCATTTATCAGCTTTTAAAATTCTCCTGCCAGTTTGCTTCCACTCAGAAAAAAAATCAATGAAGACACAGATTAGCACGAGTAACAAGAATTAAAATTAATAAAATAAATAAACTCAGCTTCATCATAGTCTTAGAAACGCATTTTTCTCTGAGTGTTGTCCCTCCCCCTGTTGAGGTCCTTCTACTTTGTATGCACTTCTATAAATATTCATCAGGGCAAAGAAAGGATGAAAAATTAATGTATTTCCAACTTCCACAGCAAAGACCCAAACAACACCACACAGTCTGAAGACAGAAACTCTAGCTACAACCACAGAGTCACTTTCTGCTGTTTCACATCTACCACTCATCCTCAGAGATTTCCAAAATGACAAAAAGGTCAAATGTAGCCTTTATAGATTATCTAAACATTATTTAACCTTGTCTTTTAAATTCATGGTTGTTACACCAAGCACATGTGATAAAATATGTTTCACCTTTATAATTGTGAAGATTTTTCCCATTTGTCTCATTTCTGTTCTCTATTCTCTGTTCTTTGTTTTTCAACATTTTTCCTATTCTTGTGGACGTTTTTTTCTTTCAAATTGCCTCATCGTTTAGCATTTGTTCATGGTCCTTTCTGGCTGCTGCCTTTTTAACTGGGTTATTATACCTCGATATTTATGTGGATATTACATAAAAAAGGATATTACACACATACAGTATGTTTGAGCTGTTGAGACAATGCCACTATGTATTTGTGCATAACTTATACAAATATATGTAATATATATGTATAAATGTAATGTAATACATATATGTAAATACTTGTAATATATATGCAATATATATATGTATACCCTTATATAGTATAAATAAGATTGATATAATATTTTATATTATATTTTTATATTATATTTAAATAACTAATATAACTAAGTAAAATAAATACCTAACACTAAAACCAGCCATCAAGTTGTAAGTAAGCTGTTCAGGAGAAAGGCATGCAATATCTGCAATTCCACTTCTGAATCTCTGTAAAAAGAAGTTAAAATCTACAGTTGGCAATATTTCTAGAAGGCAACATTAATCCATAAATACTCCTTAATTTTCCTGTCATTGCAGAATTAAGCTACTTCCAGCTCACACAGACCTTACCAGGTGTGCTAAACTGATGTCATTATAAGCCATCAGGAAACACCCACAGAGACCTGTAGCAACATTTAGAAGTTTTGTTAAACAGCCGTGTGTTCTAATTGATTTGTATTTTTTAAAACAGCTAAAGCAAGCTATCACCGGATGTAGAGAAGGGATGACTGAAGGCACCAGGGAGATTTACCTCAGAAGAAAGCCAATCACAGGAACTTCACTTGAGCATTTTAAGGTTATTACTAGAGGAAGTGCAATTAAATCATCACCATTTGTCAATTATCATTATAAAATACTATGCAACCTTATCATGTTAATTTATTTATGAGAAAGTAACTGACTTCTGATTTTTCCAATAATCTAGTCAGTAAAAATATTCAAAGATGCTTTCTCTGAAAATGAGCATGACTTTCTACAATAATCAAAACTACAGAAGTCCAAATTTTACCTAAAATTCAGTAAATGCCAAATACCTACATTCTTTGGGGTTCAGGCAATGTCTCAGCTCCTGATCTCAGATACATTTTACCACAGAGAGTATAAGCCAAAATACAGTTGTATCAGAAATGTGCACAGGCATGGCACCTGCATTTCATAAAACACAGTGGAATAAAGGTCCCAAATGATTAGTGTAAGATTCTGGATCTGGAAGGACAAAAAAACCCAGACAGTAAGTCTTTCTTTTCCTAATCTGCAATCAAAGGACAAATCAGCCCTAGTTAAAAGCTAAGTAATATGTGTGGGCAATGGTAAGCTCCGTTTTTCCTCCCAGTGGTGGAGTGCTTATACCATTTAAAATCTGTATCTGTTTTGGATTAAAACCTTAAACCTTTTCTCTGTGCTGTTCATGTGTACTGAGTGTTCAAGTCTGATTTGATGAGCCTGCCCAGTGACTTGTATTGTAGAATCTGTGTCCCTGCAGGCAAAGCCTAACCCACATAACAAAATGGGTCAGCAGAGAAGCAGAGAGGGAAAGCTCCGTATTGCAATTCAGAGCCCTGATTCATCTGAGGAGGGGAAAGTTCTCTTTTTCTTGTAGACTTAACTCTTGCTTTGATCTGAGGCTTGCAGGCTAGTGCTTACAGTGTGTTTTTATTATCTTCCATAATCTCCTTATTTCAACAGAAAGTCACATTTTGCTGCTATAACTTTGCTAAATTTCTCCAAAATGTTCTTTTTTTCCTCTTAGCTCATGTTTGTCACTGGATTCACAGTGGCTGAACTGCCTCTGGAGAGGTGTCACAGAGACAGGTTCATCTCTTCACACATTTTGCCACCCAAAAACCCCGTTTCTGCAAAAATTTTTGTGTATATTTCTTACACAAAACTCCAATTATTAGACGCAGGACAGTTTTTACTTTACTGTCCCTTAAGAGGCAAAAATAACCCCCCTGTGAGAGTGACCTGTTTTTCCTTTTGGCTTCCACCACTCTGATTTTACACATTCTGAACATACTGTTTATGTCTTTTTCTCACTAGTGTCACATTATTACATCATTTTATTAAAATCTAATTTTCTCATCTTCATTCACAGACAAGCCAGGTAACTAATGCTTTATGTAAAAGTGTGTATTACAAGAATCTGCCAACTCTCAACTGGAATTCAGACATGCACAGCAAATACCAGAAAAACAATGTTTGTCATAATACAAATAATAGTCCATGGCTGCAAAAAACAAAAATGCTGCTCATGTTCCCACTGTAGATGGCTGAGTACCATCTACAAGTAGGTATCCTGTAATTAAACCGTATTATTTTAATTAGGGGAACACCTGTAGAACTCAGTGGAAGTCACATCCCCGTTGTGTCAGCTGCTGTGGCAAGAGACCTGGAAAAAGCTAAAACCAAAAAATTAAGGAAGGAAAGGAGAGGGGTAAAGGACACATTGGTATTTTGGTCTGATGGGAAAAAAAATTCACACCTGGAGAGTCTCTAGTCTTTGTCCAAACTTGCACTGGGGAGCTGGAGTAACAGGGAAGAGATCAGAGCAACCAAGTCAGCTCTGAACCATGTTTCACTATTAGACTGCAATAACTTATTGTTTGATGAGAGACCAACTTTCTCTCATTCAGTCCCGAGGATTGCAAGTCTATTTAAAACTGAAAATGACACACATTATTTTTTGGTAATTTCATTACAAGACAACGCGTGAAGTGTTACAATAATATATTTTACTTACATAAATAAGTCTACTTTTGTATTAACCCAAATCCACGATTACTCAGAAATCGCCTGAATTTTTACGGATGGGTGTTGGAAGAGTATTCTAAATGTGAGACACTGTCAAACTAAGCCTTAAATATATATCCTTTCAAAACCAGAACTGAAACTATTGCTGGTAACTGGCTAAGCACAGAGTTAGACTTGTGTCTGTGTGCGCGCGTGTATGCATATATATTTATGTATTTATTTTTATATTTATATTTATTACTTGTGTCCAGGGAAGGAATAAGGCCACTGGGGATTCTCAGGCATATACTGCATTCCCAAGTTTTGTAAAAGACCAATGGATCCTCACCTGCTGTGTGATGGTGTCCCAGGGCCCCTCCTGCAGACGATCCTGGTAACATGCATGAACACTTCCCCATATTTCCTCCAGAGTTAAAGGTCTTCCATCTGCAATGGGGAGAAACAACCGCGCCCAGCCAAAGCTCTTAAGCATATCTTTAATATTCAATAGCAAAGCAGCAAAACTAAAGCTAATTTTGTAAAATAAAAGTTTGGATGAGATTAATTTAAAACCACAAAATAACACCATGAAGAGTTATCTAGTGCATAAGTACATCCAATTAATAGTGAGAGAGTGGGAAAATCTGAGGAGCAAAATTCTGCAGATAAAAGTTTGCTGCATTTTCGTAACCTACAGGCCCTTAATTTTTTTCTTGAGCTCCATTTATATGGTATTGTTGCATCAGATTTTTACCTGTGACACTAGAATTATGCCAAGATATTAGTGTCGACTACTTAGAAAATAAGCATGTCAATTTTTAATGAGCATTTGTTTATGGCAAACAGAGTATTTTGATATACTTTCAATAAGTAGCTTCATCTTGGCATTTATCAGGTGTCAGAAATCATCATCCTCTGACAAATAGTTTTATTCTACTGACATTTGCATGTCTGTAAAATGAAAAGGAGTTATTCACACAATTAACATTTGAATGCCATGTTTAGACATAAGTTCCAACCAGCTGCCTACTGCCTCTCTTTTATTTTCTGCATATATATTTATAAAAAAGCACCAAGTTCTGAACTTATAGCAAAATCATGTGGCAATTAAAGTTATCTGAGAGGGTAACAGCATATTAACCAGCTATTCCATGGCATCCTCATGGACATGAGACTTGTTAGACCATCATGTCCACTGTCTTATGATGAAGATACCACAGCTGCACTGGAGATGGTTTGCTAATACTAAGAAATTTGTATTAGCAAATACTAATTTTTCTAAATTCTAATGTAATTAACTTTAGAAGGATATATTTATGCTCAGATCACCTGTGTGTAGGTAACAGAAGATGCCATGCATACCTGCAATTCCGTTTTCAACCTGCAGAGTAAGTCCAAGTGTAAAATCTAGAATAACACGTCCTAATGCAACATTTGATTTGGCACTCCACATTTTGTTCTGTACACCTTCTCTTGTGAACTTTTATAGTAACACCTGAGCAAATTCAGATTGTACAGGTGGATTACTCTGACTCTGTTAATCTCATTTATAGAAGTAATCAAATATTATTAAAGTATTAAACATATTATAGGTAAAACTGAGTTTTGTGTTTACCGTGCAGCGAATCCAGTTCTTTCTCAAGCTCCCAGACTTGCCCAAAACACAGACCTGTATTCTCTGGGCACTTTTAGACCCATTTTTCCAGGGCTGCCAGCACTCTCACGTGTTTAGCAGCCCTGTTGCACATTCTTGCTACCCACTGAGACTTCTAATATCCATGTGGGCTGGCAGAGCAGTCAGTAATTGTTGCTGCTGGCAACAAGGGGGCCACTGTGGCACCTTCTGAGCCAACAGCCTCTTGGCTTTGTGCCTCATTCTTCCCCGTGATGGAGCTGAACTCAGGAAGTTCAGCCAGAAAGAGGAAGAAACAGCAGCACCAAGCCAAGAGAAGTGGCAGGAGAGGAAGGCAGAGGCTCCCGATTCACCATTATTACATTTACTCATCACTTACCCACGAGGACACAGCTTGCTCCATGTCCCAAGGCTCATCCCAACCCTAGCTGGGATAGTTTTATTATTAAACTGTTTAGACCACAACAAACTTTTCTGAGAAAAGCTTCTCGATGGCCCACTTGGGGTTAATCATGTCACCACAGACGAGTTGCAGCTCTCAGCTGGTATCTTAATTCTTGCAAAGACTGGAAATTCTTTAGGCAGGCAAATTCCACATATATTCTCAGAGAAAATTTTGAGGCTTCCCAAGTTGCTGTATTCTGTTTTCTTGATGTTTACGGAGGGCTTTGAACAATTTCTGAGATTCCCAATTTAAAGTTTTTAATAATTTTAATAATTTTAAAACTTTTAGTAATTTAGCAATTTCTGAGATTCCCAATTTAAAGTTTTTAATCATTTCTGACATTCTCAATTAAAGGGATTTTTTACAGTTTTGAGTGAAATGGTGCACAAAATTGTTTTGAGGCATCATTCTGACATATTTTATAAAAAAACAATCTTAAACTGTTGCCAAAAGAGAAAAAAACCATTACAGCTAAAGGGAATATCAAATCATACAAATTATTCAATCTCATTTATGTCCAAAGCCACAATAAAACCAGTTCTTAAGGGACATGGTCTTAAGAGCAGCTGTATTTCTGAGAAAGGACATGGTGGTTACACGCTTCTGAGTTCAGGGAGTAAATCTGCATTCTGGAAAGTGCTTCAGCCAGGCCCAGTATGATTATGAATACAGAAAGTCATGCCTTCAGGGTTAGAGGAAGTTATACCACTTCAGAAGCTCACTCTCCCTAACCACTGATTAGCATGGTTTTTGTTGGCAGGGATTTAGCTATATGTCACAGAGCTAGATAGATTTTGAACAGATCAGCTTCAAAACCCAATTCCTTCTCTCTTTCCTAGAGGAGTAAGGCTGAAGCCCTTGCTGACTCCCACTAGTTCTGCTCTTTCTTTTCAGTATTTAGACAGCATTCATGATGATTCCTGTAACTTTTCAGGAAAAACAAGAAGTGCGAGATAAGCCATTATTTTCTTAGCAGGCAAGGTAATTCCTGAATGGTGCCTGTGCTCACCTGTGATTGTGTGGTTGCTACCTCACTCTGGTTTTTTAATCTATGACAAGAGGTTTTTGAATGTATGGCTTCAGATGAAGGATGGTTCAGGAAAAGACCAAAGTTCCTTGGCCTCTTAAAGACTAAGAAAAGAGGTGAATACTCTGCTGATTAAAGAAAGCTTACTGGACCTAGCCCAGCCCATCCGGCCGATGCCAGCATTGAAGAGGAAGGATAATTGCCTACACCATCTGTCTCTAAGAGGGCTAATTGCTGACATCACATATCAGCAGGGGTGATGTCAGCAGGGGTTCATGCATTTCTTCAACTACCTACCCGATAGTCCCAAAGGCAGAGAAAGGAAGAGAGGCTCCTATTTCTGGAAGGTATGGCAGGCATAAGGCTGATTTTGGGGAAAGGAGCCTCTGAGGTATTGGAACCACTGCCTTGAGCTCCTGACACAGACTGTGACTTCAGGAAGTCTGAATTTAGGAATATATGCCACGTGGGGAAGCATCATGAGGTAGTGAAAAATGTTTCTTATGTGTATACACGTAGCCTAAAAATATCTTCTTGGCATCCTATAATGTTCCCAAGCATCTTTCCAGACACGCTCATCACACTTTAATCATTATTTTCAACTGAAATATTTGTCCTTGCACAGAACAAGATCTTCTCTGTAAATCTACACCCAGAGACTACCAAGAAGTTTAGATGTGTCTCAGAATGTTTAAGTTCTGCTGCAATTAAAATTTCAAACCTTACCTTACACCACCTTACGTATCAAACTTCATCTCAAAAAAAAAAAGAGGTCTATACATGAATTCCAGAAAATAAGCTATTTCATCCAACTTAGACAGCAGCAAGGGTAAGGACACAATGCAACTTTTTCCCTTCTGCAGGAAGAAGTGATCTGTAGCGGTTGAACATAACTGGTAGAAGAGAGGAGTGAACACTGGATGTCTTCACTGACACAAGCTCCTAAAGATGCCAACCAAGCTGAAAATGACAGGAAAATCCCCCCAGTAACTCTACAGGGAGCCTTTTTCCTAGGAGGGACTGTGAGAGACCAAGTCAATGGGAACTGGACTCACATACAGTGGGAAAAAGGTAGGATTTCATCATTTGAGAAGAGTTTGTCAAGAGTCTGGCAGATTTGCACAGGTAGCATCAGCTGCTGTTAGAACACACAAAGTGAGGAAGTGAATACGACAAAACTACTCCATCAGGTTGAACAGAATTATTATTATTATTATTATTATTATTATTATTATTATCATCTAGGTGTAATGGCCATTGAACACACTGCCAGGGAGGAAGCAGAGTTTTGCATTCAGGAGTGTCCCACTCCTGGGGAAGGCAAGACTGGACAGGGCTGTGGAAATCCTGGAAGGATTATAGCTCAGCTCCACCCCCTGCAACAGCTCTAATTAACATCAGGATCAGTACGGACAGGATTCAAGGGAAATCATGAACAGCTCACAAGACATTGGTGAGGAATTGATTCTGTTACCTAATTTACAAATAATGGTAGGAATTTAGACTGGGAAATTGACGAAGATGTCTGGAAAATTCTTCCTTGATTATTTCAGAGGAACGCAGTGAGTATTGCTCGTTGTCTGAGAAACAAGGTGAGGAGCCTATCACATGAAGACTATTACCTCAAAGGAAAAAAATCTCAGGGCATTACCTTGAATTTTCCTCATACCAGGTTTGGGACAAGATAAAACATACACTGCTCAGGTATCTCAAGAGATTGTGAGCAACTGTCACCTACACAGTCCCAAAAACTCCATGTTGGGACCTTCAGACAGCACAGCACAAGCAGGCAAACAACATGCGGGGAAGACAGAATTTCAAAGGTAAGCTATCCGTAATTAAATCAGAGAGTACTTGCTGAAAACATTGTAGGAAACGCACTTATTGCCACCATTGTGTATCCTTCTCTCTTCAAGAGTCAGGTATACTTAAACGCTAAAAGAGAACCCAGGTGACTTCAGGAAGTATCCAAAAAAAGCCCTTGCTCTCCATTGTGAAAGGTTCCCAAGAAGTGTTTTAAAAGGTAATTGTACTTGCAGAAACAATTACGATTCTGTACTGCAAGGGGAGCTGTTTGCACATAATACCATGATTGTGCATTAGATCATCCACTGGCTCCTGTAATACCCACTTCCAGCTATAAGGAGTCATGTTTCAACACCTCCGATTCCCTGATGCTGACAAGCTAAACAACTGGTTTTGTCTCCGTGAGCTCTTCTCTGGTGATTAACTGCTTATGGTGAATACTAATTATATGAAAGTACAGTACAGTAGAGATAGTGTCCTACTTCCTCTACCTGCAGTGTCTCCATCCTCTTCTTGTAGAGACAGTGAACTATTAATTCAGCAAAAATGAAGAAAATTACATTTTTCAGGACCACAAATAGGTTAACCTGTCTCTCATAGCAAAACTTCCTTTGTCTTCCTGTCTGCACAACAAGTTTAAAGGCAAAACAGTGCACATTTGTAAAAGCCTGTAATAAAACTAGAAATAAATTTGCAGCAGGATGTGTGCAAATGAGTTCTGTTGGTGGTAAAGGCAGAGCAATGTCCCCAATTCCCCATGTCCCAGTCTGAAAATTTACCCCAAATTATCCATTCCTGAAACTGCACCTCAGACTAAAATCTTTCCACCAGGGAGTCTATGAGAATTTGTTCTCCAATTTTGAATGTGAAGTGCCTTTCAAAATGCCAACACTGCAAAATTAGAAACCATTAAACAATATAAGGCAGAGAGTGATTAAATCTACTAAACACATTCAAAGCAGCTTAAGCTACTTTTTAATTAAAAAAGAAAAGATATCACTGGCAACATTCAGACATCTTTATCTAGATAAAGGTAAGATATTATTCAAAACACAAAAGATGTTGATCACTGAATCATTTAGGTCTGAAAAGACTTCTAAAATTGAGTCCAAGCCTTAACCCAGCATGGCCATGTTCAGCACTAAATCCTGTCCCCAAGTGCCACATCCACACGTTTTTTGAACACTTCCAGGGCTGGTGACTTCACCACTGCCCCGGGCAGCCTGTACCAGTGCTGGACACAGACTTTGGGCAGTGAGGAACAGAGCACAGCCAATGCCACAGTGTGATCACTCTGTTTGCTGATTAAATAAGTGACACAAACAGCAGCCTTAGGTAACAAGATGCATATTTCAGGAAGGAAAGATGATCAGTTAGTGCCTCCAGAGCCAGTTTAAACACAAAAACTCAATACCATATCGGTATTATTTTATTTTCCCTTAAGCAGCAAATTTAAACAGAAAACAGCATACAATTTTAAAGACACATTTAGACCCCAACCTTTTGACTCAAATTCAGGCTCCAAAGAAACACACAAGCTCTGTGATTATGCCCACTTACTGCGTGGCCCAATTCAAACGTGCTGCATTAAGTTTCTGCAGTCATTTCAAGAAAAGGAACAAGAAAAATGACCAGCAGTTTTAGTCAACCACAGGCAAGATGCCAAGAGCCAAAGTTCAGCCTCCCTCAGGCTGAGGTGATATCATCTATTCCATGGTCCTGAAGCTCTGTGTTACAAAATTTACTGGAGAGCAGCGTCATCTCTTACTTTCTTATTTTACACATCTGTTCCTCACTTTAACACAAGAATTCATGTCTTTAACATCTACTGCATCCCACATATTTAATACACAATTGGTCGGTCTTACCTAAAAAGCATGCCCTGAAATAAAGCACAGGTACTTGGTAGCTGCTGGAGTACAAGACATGATACTCATAGCGAATCACTTCTTCTGTTGTACAAACTCCAGCTACTTGAGAATCATCCAAAGACTCCTAAAACAACAAAAATGAACAGGACAATACATCAACTTTTGCATTTGCATCAAGGGAAATTATCACAAATTCAATAAATGCACAGAGCAGAAATAATGGCAACCACCCCTTTCACAGCAGTACTCATGTAAATTCCCAAAGGAATTTTTCAACACTAGCAAGAAAACCACTGAAGTCCAAAACCTTCAAAGACTTCTTACATACTAACTTCCACAAACTGTGAACTACGTGTAAGCATTTCCAGAACTGAGATCTTTCTAAAAGAAGACCTGAAATCTCTGAAAATCTTTATGACACAGTGTGGGAAGATGGCTGGGGTTAAAAATTAGAGGAGACTAAGAATTATAGGGTAAAATGCAGATGCATCTCCCTGGATGGAGACACAAAGGTTCCCTATACAATGATAAGCATCTGCTAAAGGGGATGGAAGAGAGGGTGAGGCCTCATTTTTTATGGCCTCACTCCATAAAAATCCCTGCAGGGATGGGAACATGGGGGCACTTTTTAGTTCAAACACCACATAGTACCTGTCAACCAAGAGACAGACATGAAGATGCTCTGCAGCTGAGCCAACAATTATACTGAATCCCTGGAAGCCAAGATGTGACCACACCCATTAAGTATGTGAAGTGAGTTTACATCAATCAGAGATAAAGTATTCATAGAATCATAGAATCAGCTGGGTTGGAAGGGACCTCTGCGATCATCAAGTCCAACCCTTGATCCACTACGAGACCATGGCTAAGTGCCACATCCAGTGCTGTCTTAAAAACCTCCAGGGACGGAGAATCCACTACTTCCCTGGGCAGCCCATTCCAATGTCTGACCATCCTCTTTGTAAAGAAATTCTTTCTAATATCTACCCTAAACCTCCCCTGGCACAGCTTAAGACCGTGCCCTCTTGTCTTGCTGATAGTTGTCTGGGAAAAGAGACCAACCCCCACCTGGCTACAACCTCCTTTCAGGTATTAATGACTGAAATCACTCAAGCTCCACCTAACCTAAAGAAATAGTATAGAAGTAAGTTGAGGATAGGAGGAAAATTGAGGAAGATTCCACTGAAATTGCTGGCATATGTTGTCTTCCCCCCTATAGGGGCCTACTGGGTAAGAAACATGCTCTATGTGCACTGAATGCTGTTTCTAGGATTAGAGCTTGTGCTTGCTTTAGAGGATATTAGATCGCTTTAAACTCATTTTTGCAGTCAGACACTACCACTGATGACTTTGAACCTTATTAACCTGTCCCAATTTGTATTAATAAAGAGTGGTATTCCATAAACTGTTAGAGTGAGTCCTTCACAGCTGCTGGCAGTTGCCAGTGGTGGTTAACAGGCTGGGAAGATCCACTGAGGGGTCTCCACACGGTTGCCTGAGCCCCTCCTGAAAAGGGCAGTCAAATCACCCTCCAACCCTGTGAATCTGTTCAGTGAAGGGTCCCCTCACGGGACACTGACAGACTGATTGGGCACAGGAGTCTCAGCTTTCCTGGGGCTCCAACAGACAAATAAAGCACTGAGGATCAAGAAAATCTCCCACACACCAAGGGTTGGGGTAGACCCCCCTCCTTTTCACATGACACACAGTAACTGGCACAGTAAAGTTACTACAGCTGCATCTCTCTTTGTTACATTTAGTATAGACCATTTTAAAACTGTATCCTTAAATAATCTGATTTTGTTTGCCAAAAAGACAAATCAAATGCATCCACCAAAAATTCTCTGATCTACTTTCTTTAAAGGCTTTTTGCCAGGGGTAGTTTTTGTTAATAATGCTTCTAAAACTGAGATTATTTTTTTTTACCTGTTAATGTATATTTATAGTGTAAAGTAGTAAAGTTATAGTAGACTTGAACTAAATCATAAGAGATGGAACTAACTGCATTGACATATACCCCAATTGCAGCACAGACTTCATAACATTTCAAATTAATATTCAAACAGTGCTAAGCACTAAGTTGTTTGGACTTTTCTAAAAACTGTCATTACTCAATGACTCTGAAAACGGAACCATTAAATTAATAATGCCATTAAGAGTAAATGTTAGAACAAACTTTCCAAGAAGACCCTATGGGTGTGGACTTGTTCGGTGCTCAAACTCCCAGATTTACATGCATGAACTAAGCAACCATAATGCCCCACAGGTTGGGTGTGCATTTCACAACTTGGCTACTGCCAAGCAACTCTGAATATTGGCTTATGGTCTCTGTCCAAGCAAAATTAAAAAAAAAGATTGAACAGAAAACAAGAAACAGCATCCTCTGAACACTATGCTGGCTTAACACACAAGAAATTTAAAGCTATTTTGCATTTTTATCTCGCATCCTCACGCAACTCAGCGATGGATCGATCTATAAGGAAATATAAAAACTGATAAACTGTAACACCCAAAATATTTTCAGGGTTTTTTTCTGGTGTGATTTTCCACAGTTTTAGAGTATTTGACAACCAGATGCTGCTGAGGCAAATGGATAGAAGTTCACAAATGGAAAGCCCAGAGCTTGGGAAGCTGCAGACCAAGGAACTGAAGGTACATTTTTGGACACTAAATGAGAAGCTCACAGATGGTCACAGAACAGAAGTTTCCTGGGTAATTCTACATGGCTGCAGGAATGGTTGATTTTAGCTTATCAGGGAACAGGCATCTAAAGCACTGAAAGGGAACATTAAAAAAAGTGCTCTCTGTGTTAACCTAGTTTTCAAAGCTGCATGTGAAGAGATACTGAAGACAACGTGCCAGAAGGGACAGTGGTGATTTCTGTACCTGACTTCACCGGCCAGGTAAGGTCAGGTATGATATGCCCAGCTCCCATGTACATCTGTAACTGACTAAGGAAGTCTTTTCCTCCTCACATCAATCATACCCGCTGTTAGATACAAAATACACCTTAAAAAATATATATCTTGAGGAAGATATAAATTGCTTCTTTACAGTATGCTGAATTGCCTTTAAAGTTGATCAGGGCTTCAGTGAGAACAGCAAAAGAAAGACCCAAAAGCAGCCCAAAAAGCTGCAAAAAAAAAAAAAAAGCAGCCTGTGGAAAAAAAAGAAAACAAAATTAAAATAATGCAGCTACAGATTGGCTTTCACGTGTTTAGGGGTGGGGAAGAGAAAGAGTCTGTACCCAGGACTGATACTACATTAAAATTCACAAAACCCACTCAGACCAACCTCCTGGAATCAACATCATGCTGCTTCTCAGGCATTAATGTTTCATCAGACATCATGGCCTTGCCTATTGCTTAGTCACCAGCTTGCCCTGCCCTTAAAGGTACTTCTGGAAATGGCAAAACTACCTGTTCATGTATTCAATACTATTGTTCTAGAAAAAAAAAAAAAAGCTGCATGTACGCATTGCTTTACGGGTAAAATGGCTAATTTGTGACTATTTTAGATCTGCATACAAAGGCAGACAGCTGAATCCTTCTTAGGGCTACTCTAATCCTCTTCCCTCTCAGTAAACAGCAATTTCCCATTTTCTGACATAAAAAGACACATCGCTGATGTGCAATCCTGTACTTTACAGCCTCTGTAAGTAAAACACACAGTATTTTTGCTGGGAAAGTACAATTTGTAGCCTAAAAGTTTAGATGGTATCTCTCTGGCTGATGAGATGAACTTTGCTGATGAGATGAATAAAAGGAGTACAGTCATTTTAGGTGATCTTTGGAACATCTAAAAATCTATGCATGGCTGAACAGAGCTAGGGAGCCCCAGAGAGTTTTATATCAGCCCAAAAGATTTGGCTTTCAGTATTTAACCAACTACTGATAAAACCATAAATATAAAACACAGGTGTAACTTATTAAAAAAAAAAACAAAACGCACACAGCTTAATTTTTACATGCCATGATAGCGTATTATATTTTTTACTTGTATAATTCTTCTAGTTTCCTTTCATTTTATATATTATTGTCCTAACTCTTTTTTTGAGCTAATGCTGAATTATTTTAGTTACCACATTAGACAATATAAAAATCAATTTTAAATTTGGAAGATTTCATAACTGCTGCAAAACACTCATATACGTACACACACCTTAAAAAAAATTCATAATTTTGCTTAGAAGTTGTAAAGACAAAACAAACGTATCTGCCTTAAAAAAAAAAGTAATTTCAAACCTTAACAAAAAAGGTGTTTTAACCAAATTGCAATAATTAAAAATGCTATGAAGAAATTTATTTCTCTTTTTGTTTTGTTTCTGCTCTTGATGAAGAAGGCAAGTTTAAAACCCCTGGTGACAGGTTAATTTGACAGCAGGACAGTTGTGTGTTTGGATCCTCCTTGGTGGCACCTGTGCTCTGCAGGCTGAGAAGCAGCGGGAAGGTGTGGGTTAAGGAGATCGTGAAGGAACGGCAAGGCAGGCAGGGTAAACTGGGAAAGTGACAAAATTACCTAATAAAATGGGGATTTTTCTCTACTAACACCAAACATTTCCCTATCTCCACCTCACCTGCTGAGCCAGACTTCCTTGCTCAGCCCAAATCCTCTTTGAAATGAAGAAGCAGATCCTTTTCTGGGAAAAAGCTAAGAGAATTGGTTTTAAAGAACAACACATTTCTCCTGGATCTCAAGTCACTGTTGACATCTATCCCATTTCCATGTCCCTCATCTCCTTTCCTGCTGCCTTGACCCCTGTTTACTCCTGCTGCAAGCCAGGCTCCAGGGAGATTCTCCTGCAGGATTGGGAAGAGGTGACGCAGGCACAGCTACTGGTACTGCTGGTTTCGGTGTGAGGAGGAGAAAAACGAGATGCAGCCCAGATTAGTAAGCAAATTTGACTCCATTGCTTGGAATGCATTTACACTTAATTTCAAGTCAGCCTCTAAAGCTGAAAACAAATGTATGGCTGCTCCTTTCCTCAGAGACAAAGAGCTGCCATTGAAATACAGGAGCTTTCAGGGAGCAGGTCCTCTCTCCATTCCACACTCCCCCCTTGGCAAACAGGGAGATCTGAACACAAAAACTGAATGGTAGGACAGTGCTCAGAGAGAATTAAAT